GTCAATTATTAATGCTAAATAATACTTATGCAATTCATGTATACATTATCATTTAAAAAATTTTGAAAAAAATTGAGAGTTTCAATTAATCATGTTTTTGTGCAATTCATGTTTTTGTTCAATTCATGTTTTTGAAAAAATTGTGTTAATAACCCGGTTCCTGTTGAAGACCTCATTTGTCATGTGCTATCCCAACTTCGGGATGAGTTTGCACCCACTGTTGCCGCTCTCCGTGTGCGAGAGACCCCTCTTACATATGCTGAGTTAGAGGATATTTTAACTGATTGTGAACGGACCCTGCAAGAAACTATTGAGAACTCTGCTACCGTTCTTCCCACGGTTAACGCCACCTACCGAACTAGTGGAAATGGTTTCAGTGACAATTCTGGCGGCAACCAGAATACTGGCTTCGGTGGTCAGTTTGGCTACGGAGGCCGTGGCGGGCGTGGGTCGCGAGGGCGGTTTGGTGAGCGACGCAACAATGGCAGATTCTGTAAGTTCTGCCAATTCCAAGGCCATGATGTTCAGTTCTGTCGCAAGTTGGAGCGTTTCTTGCGTGAGAATAATTACCGAGTTAGCGGTTCGACACCAACCGTGAACACTGCGACGTCTACAAACCCGGGTCCTAGTCAATGGTTGTTTGATAGCGGAGCCTCTCACCATGCCACATCTGACTTGGCCTCTCTTCAGTCATTCACGGAATATGGAGGTCCTGATGAAGTACACTTGGGCGATGGCACCAACCTTCCTATATCTCATACTGGTAAGACAACTATCTCTACTTCTTCCCGTCCCTTGTCTTTATCCAACGTCCTCTGTGTTCCCCGTCTTCATAGTAATATTGTTTCAGTTTCTCAACTATGTAAAACCAACTCTGTCTCTGTTGAGTTTTTTGATTCTTCGTTCCTTGTGAAGGATCTACTCACGGGGGCGCCTCTTCTTCGAGGACAAAATAATCATGGCATTTACTACCTTCCGCGGTCAAACTCGGTTCCCCGCCTCCATGTCACCACGACTGGTTCCATCTCTGACTGGCATCACCGATTTGGCCATCCGTCCAACAAAGTTTTGCGCCAAATTTTTAGTCGTACTAGTTTAGTCCCTTCTAGTTTGTTAGATCAGTTTCATTGCCTTTCGTGTAATATTAATAAAAGCCACAAGCTTCCATTCTCTGTAAACACATTAACTAGCTCTGATACAATGTAAAGGCTGGAAGACTATTTTGTATTGATATGAAGTGGGTATTAATAACCCAAGAATACAAATGTACAAGGAAAGTAGATCACTACAATAAGATACCTAAACCATATCAGCTATACAAGGAAAGTAATTATATACTTCCTATACAAAGAGAAAGATAAAAGGAAAGTAATTATATACTTCCTATACAGAGAGAAAGATACAAAAGGAAAGTAAGGTGGCTGATTAATTATTCTTTACATAGGGGACTTCAAAATGCAATGTTGTTCACCTTCTTTAGTTCATTCTTTTATAAAATCATATAAATCCCCTTACCTATTATAGTTTTGAATATACTCTTTTATTTATTGATTTTAATTCAATAAAAATCTTGCATATGCTACCTTAAGTTTTGACAACAGGATATTCTTATTCTATTAGATATCGTGAATCACACTAGTACTCACTTAATCCATAAGGTTAAATCGGTTAATCTATCGATAAGCTTTATTTTAACTCTTATGAACTTTTCTGGTATTTAGGAATAGAGAAGATGATTGCTACCTTGTTCTAGAATTCAGATTATTTCTTAACCCGTTTAAGTCAAATGGATTATATTAAACTTAAACCATTGCTTTGAAGGGTTAACTCATTTAACATTTCCGGGAGGTTATACTAAACACTTTTTAATTTTTATTTGTTGCTAATTAAGAGGGGGTTATCTCATTTTATTTAATGTAATAAATTGTTGCGTTTGACCGCTGAAAGGAGAGGTTGACTCTCCTTAGTTCTCAATTAATCTGTTGCTAAATAACACCTAAAAAAATTCCTATCTGATCTCATTAAGAAATAAATAAATAAATCATCTAATAGTCCTTCATATTTTGATATAAAACATCAGAGTAGTTTCTCATAATCTTTTCAGCAAAATCTTTATCAAATGATAGAAAGTAAGGCTCTATTTGGCAACCACAAAAGGAGAATAGGTTAAGCATAGTGATAGTCTAAGTAGGCCAAAGGTAGCCTCAAGAGCATGTTGGCAACATACTTATAAGTTTCTTATTTTACTTATATGTTACCAATGTCATATTTGTTGAGGGTTCACTTATCTACTTACTTTTAACTTATGAGTAGCCAAAAAATTAAGTTGGGAACCATTTATTTGGCTACTTATAAGTAGTTTCACTTGTTAACGCCAAAAGACCCGTAAAATCCTCCATACCGCTTTACCAATATTCGTAATTAACATTAGTAATTAATAACCAAAAATAGTGTGATTCATAATTTTTTTTAAATTAAATATTTTCTTATTATAAAATAATTTATTCTTTATTAATTAATTATTTATTTAATAAATAAGTTTATTAGTAATTTTTATTTAATTAATTAGTTATTTTTTATTTTTGAGAATAAATAATTATGTTTACTGATTTTTTTATTTTAATAATAAATAATTATTCCTATTAAAAATTATTTATAATAAAATAAAGTATAAGTATCATTTAATAATTTATTTATATCAATTATTTTTAAAGTAAATAACAATAACTATTATTATATAGTTAATTAATAAATAAAATTATTTATAGTTAATAATTAATTATTTATATTTTTAATAAAATCTTTATTCTTTTTATTTGACTAGTTAAATTAATTAATACCTATTGTTTAATTTATATGACATTAATTATGTAATACTAACATTAGTAATAACTAAATATAACATAATATAATAGATTGAATTATTTAACTACATGTATTTCTTATTAAAATCAATTATTACTGACTTTAATAAAAATATTTTTTATTGATAATCATAATTAATGTGAAATAAATTAATTTTTTATTTAGTTAGTTAAATAATTAAATAACTATATTAATACTAAGTATATGATTAATATATAATAATTAATTAGACATAATATGAGATTTAAGAAGATGTCCTTTATGGTCATTTGACATCTATTGCAACTATATAAGTTACCAAACACATAACTACACACATATCCTTATAAGTTAACAGTTTTAGCAAACACTTTCATTATTCTTTTACATCCTTATAATGAGTTTTGAAAATAAGTAATAAGGAAAATAAATGCTAGCCAAACATGCTTTTAAAAGCGATGACCCAATAGAAAACTAGTTTAAAGGTTAAAATTTAAACTAAAGAAAATTAGTTCGACTTTGCCTATTGTTAAACTAAAAACTAGCTTTTGAGCAAAAGTTGTACCCACTGAAATTAGTTTTGTAGAGTTGGCAAACACACCATGAAAGTTAGAAACTTGTAGTAGCAACTAACGCATCATTCACTTTCTCAATATTCTGTTGTTACTATGGGAAAGATTGTGGAAAGTGAAGGAAGTTGAAGGAAAAATAAAATATTAATTACTCTCTTTAAATCACTTTCTCAAAAATTTTAGGAAAGCAAATTTTTTTTGGAAAACTGACGTGTCAATTTTTATTTTCCATTTACTTTCTAATTACATTGCAAATAATTTTTATCATTTTTCCTTTTATGTTCTAATTATAAAAGATAAAGTCTCTTGTGAGGATCTAGTTTTTACTGTATTTTTTAAAATAAAGTTTTGATTATCCCATGTTAAAAGGGAGTGATCCTTCCAATTAAATTAATAGATTTTCACTAAACATATGCAAATGTCAAACTATGAAAATCTTCATTAATCATGTGCAAAGGTCAAACTATGAAAATCTTTCTTGAAATAATCATTTTAATCATAGGCAAAGGTCAACTAGGGAAATCTTCATTAATCATATGCAAAAGCCAAACTATAAGAATCTTCCTTCAAATAATCATTTATTAAGTTTGGTGTTAGTTTTCTCGGTAATAATACATTAACATTTTAAATTCAAAATAAAAAACAAAAAATGATAAAAAACTATGAACCTATAATAGATGAGATTGTGGTAGAAGCTGCTTTTTTCTTTCTGCTAAATCGACTCATAATAAATATACATCAAAATTAAGTTTCAAATAATTTAGTGCTTCAGACCACTTATAAAGAATATAGAACGAAAATCAATATACAATAAATTAAATGAAATAAAGTAGTTTTGATAAAAAATAAAATAATCAAAATAAAATGTTTTTTATCGCCAATGATCCATCAGTTATTAAGATTGTGATTGATATTTATAAAGTATACAATTCTAGAATCAATTTGCAAGAAATTAAATAAAACTAAAATAATAAAAAATAATATTGATGCTATTATCTCAATGATCCATCAATCAATTAAATTCTTTTAATTAAAAAGAGCATTCTATTCAATGAGAAAGATAAATCCTTGAATACATCAGAATACAATCTGTCCAAATATCATCAACTAAGTTTCTTGCTGCTAACCGAGCAAGAGTATGAGAAGTTGATAAATCCTTGAGTACATCAGAATACAATCTGTCCAAATATCATCAACTAAGTTTCTTGCTGCTAACCGAGCAAGAGTATGAGAAGCTGAACTTCCATCAATTAATTAAGACTAAACAATTGTCATTGATATTTTTCAAGTATCTTCAAAGTTTAAAATTGCTATAAGTTGAGTATATAATTATTATATGATACCAGCTATTATAATTGGCAGTATATTTATGCACATACAATTTTTTCTACTTTTGGAAAGGTTTAAATAGATGCATGAACTAATAATAATTTCAAAATCAAAATTTACTAATATATGAAGTTATTATTTTAAAATATTTGAGTACTAGTAAAAAAAATGCTTCCAGAATTAAGTGGGACCCAGAGCACTCTCTCTATAAACTCTCTTCTCCTCGGCACTATTTGTTTTATGTAGTAACGGTTCTTGAATCCCAAGCCCTTTAATTCTCTCTCCCTCTAACTCTCTCTCCCTCATCCCCCTCCCAGGATTAAAAAAATAAGAGAGAGAGAGAGAGAAATAGGGAAAAAATGTCAAATAATCCTCCGCTCAATCTAAACGCTAATCTATTTGGATCCCAGCAGCCATCTTCATCCTCTCAATCTCCTCATCAGCAGCGAGAGAGGAAGGGGGCATCGCTGGAGCAGCTGGTCCTCGATTTGTGCGATCGTGATCTCAGAGAGTCTGCCCTTCTCGATCTCTCAAAGGTCGATCCTTTTCCTCCTTCGGATTCCTATTTCAATTGATTTTTGGCTATCAACATTGGTTTTTTTATATATTATGATTTTTTGTTTGTAAGCCCAAGGTTTTACCCCAATTTTTTTAAAACCCGTCCGCTTCCAAAGTCACTGCTGAAGCCAGATAACCATATTGAATTTAATTTTTAACTCAGTCTATATGTTTGCTCAGTAAGTGTGGTGCCATAGTTTTGTCTATTTTGTTTTATTTATGTTTAACTGGGTTTAATAATAGTATACTATGGTACTTTGGGTTTAAGAATGATTTCGGAAGTGGGCGGGTTTAAAAGTAAATTAGGGAGAAATTTTGGGTTTTTAAATAACAAACCCTTGCTGTAATCCTTTTTTGTAATTTGATTGTTGATGGGTTCATGTTGAGATGCAAATTTTTTATGACTAAATAAGAAGGAAACATGCATAATTATTTGGGCCAAAATAGTGCAGAATTATGGTATAATTCTATTAACTGTGAAAGGATGAAATAAATAAATAAATAAAGTATGTCAATTTAGTAGCTGTAAAAAGTTGGGAATAAGGATATTTGAAACCATGAGATAATGTCATGTTAGCAAGCGTGATGCTAACCTGAGTATAGTCATTTTTAGAATAATATTTAAAAATTGGTAACATGTTAATGATTTGATAAATTATTTGATGAATATGTAAAAGTAAACGTGCATAGTCATTTGGGCCAAAAAGTGCAGACAGTTGTGCGCCTTTGCGGAAGCGTGCTCGCACACCGAACGAGTTCGTAAGTCACGGGAGAAGATTAACAAACCAAACAAGAGCACAATCCAAACAAATATGACAAATCAATCGCAAACACAAAGATATACATGGTTCGGCAATTTGCCTACGTCCACGAGGAGAGAATAGAGAGATTTTACTATATCGATGAGAGTACAAAAGGGTTACAATCACACAAACACTCGAACAAACCCTGACTAATGATCTCTTAACTCATTCACAAGTTCTCCCTCTCAAAGTGCTCAGAATACTCTCTATTCTCTGATTAACCAAACTCTAAAATCGTGTTTCAATATATATCAAAACACAAACCAAAACAAAATAGGAAACGAAGCCCAGGCCCAAACCCGACAGGCGGTCGACCGTCGAAGTCATCGCGGTCGATCGGACAGAATGAAAAAAAATCACCTTTTTGTTTTCAGGGTCTGCGATTGATCGCCAAAGTCTTCGTGGTCGACAGGACAAAGATCCAGACACTCCCTGTACCCGTGCACGCTTCTGATCGACCGCACATGTTGCTGCGGTCGACCAGTCAGAGCTCAAAATTGATCCTGCTTCAATTTTCCTAAACTTCCTTGTCGTCGTTCCTAATTCTACAATTCTCTATCTCGGTGAAGTTTTTCCAAAACCGAGCCGACACCAAACAAAGAGCACCATTTCGTCGTCTTTCCAAACTCGGCTGCACCAATACGGTTGTCTATGTACCCCTTCTCCCAAGGGATCAAGCCGTCCGTAGTTTATCCAATTGGCCGTCAACGGTCTTAACAATCATGAATGTGCAACAAGTTTCGACAATGATCAAACTTGTTACTCGGTACTATCTTTGTGAGCATATCTGTTGGATTATCCTTCGTGTGGACCTTGATAATTTTCACATCGCCATTTTTAAGAACATCCCAAACGAAGTAATAACGAACGTAAATGTGCTTCATCCTCGCATGAAAAACCTGATTCTTACCAAATAGATAGCACTTATGCTATCACAATAAAGAGTGACGGAACGTTGCGATATACCAAGTTTCTCCAAAAGTCCCCGAAACTAAATAGCCTCCTTGATAGCCTCCATAATCGTCATATACTCTGCCTTCGTCATAGACAAAGCAACTGTAGACTGTAAGGTGCATCTCTAACACACCGGCGTATGGGTTAAAGTAAACACATCCCGTCATAGATCGACGCTTATGCAAATCACCAGCATAATCTGAATCAACATAGCCAACGCACAACTGCCCACCTCTAGTGTCCCGCTCAAATAATAAACCAACATTGAGAGTACCTTGAATGTACCTCAAAATCCATCTCACGGCATCCCAATGACCTATTCCTGGATCGTGCATGTATCTCCAAAACATGCTCACCGTCTGTGATAAATCCGGCCTCGTACATACCATCGCGTACATCAAGCTCCTAACTGCACTCGTATATGAAGTCTTCGACATCAACTCTCTATCTTTAACTGTCTTCGGTGAAAGGTCAGATGAAAGTTTCAAATGGGCTCCCAAAGGTACACTAACTGGTTTTGTATTCATGCTAACATTAAACCGTTGTAGAACCTTCTTCAAATAAGCCACCTATGTTAAATAAATTCTGCCTTTCTTTTTGTCTTTGCCGATCTTCATCCCCAAAATGCGTTTTGCCTCACCCAAACCCTTCATCTCAAACTCCTTTGAAAGTTGTTCTTTTAACTCATCTATAATGTATCTGGAAATAGAAGCAACCAACATGTCATCGACATAAAACAACAAATAAATGTACGCATATTCTTTTAACTTGTGATAATACACGTAATGATCAACCTGGTTCCGAGTGTACGAATGACCGATCATGAAACCATCAAATCGCCTATACTACTGTCAAGGAGATTGCTTCAAATCGTATAGCAATTTCTTCAACCTATAAACTAACTTTTCTTTCCCCGCAGCTCGTAATCCCAATGGCTGAGTCATATATATTTCTTCATCAAGATCATCATGAAAAAATATTATTTTTATATCCAACTCATTTAATTTCAAACCATACTGTGCCACCAAAGCTAGCAAAATCTAAATCGAAGAGTGCTTCACCACCGAAGAGAAAACCTCATTGTAATCAATACCTTCCTCCTGTGCATAGTCCTTCGCAACCAATCTAGCTTTGGACCTCACTGTGTGTCTTTAATGCCCTTTTTCTTCGTGTATACCCACTTGCAACCAATCACGTTCCGCACCTTTGGAAGCTCAACATGTTCCCATGAATCGTTCTTATGAAGAGACTTCATCTCCTTCTACATAGCTACCTGTCACGAACCAGTCTCTGAACTCTGCTTAGCCTCTATGAATGTAGTAGATACCATCTTATCAATACTCTCTACCGGAAGTACATACGTAACTACTGTGTCTGTATACCATTCTGGCATCCGTATATCTCTCCTCTATCTCCGAATTACAATTAAATTCTAAACATGAGCCGTCGGTCCTTGATCCTACTCATCTGTACCCGTATCCTCCAAATCACTGTCGTGCTCGCCTGACGTCATTTCAGTCGGTACTCTAATGGACACGATACTACCTGAACATTATGGAGCTGCATTAATCTCCATGACCTACGATATCTCCTCTGTTGGGGTGCTCTTCATCTGGTGAGAGCTGGGAAGTTTCAAGATAGAAGCCTCATCAAAAGTGACGTCTCTACTCAGCACGAACTTCTCATCCACTGGATCCCATAGCTTGTATCCCTTGACACCATGCTTGAATCCTATAAATATGATCTTTCTAGCTCGATGTTCCAATTTATCTATTCTCACCTAATCAAATGCAGGACATCCAAATATGTTGAGCTGGTCATAGTCGTGTGCTGGTTTTTCCGATCACATCTCCATAAGGGTCTTCCTCTCAATCGCAGATGAATGTAGCCTGTTAATAAGGTTGCTCGTATATGATAGTGCCTCAACCTAAAAGATCTTTTACAAACCACTCTGCGATAATAAGCATCAAACATTCTTCAGTAAAGATCGATTCAACTTCCCCGTCACCCTATTTTGCTACGATGTATGACTAACTGTGAAGTGTCTTTTTATGCCCTCGTCCCGACATAGCTACTGAAAAGGGTTTGATGTGTACTCACTGTCGTTGTCGGATCACAACATCTTGATCTTGCTCCTAGTATGCAGTTTTAATCTTCTCTTCCACTCCACAAATAACTTTAGAACTTCATTCTTATGTTTTACGGTGTACACCCAACAACGCCTAGAATAGTCATCAATAAACGTGACGAACCAATATCGACCACCAAGTGATGCAGTCTTGATGGGACCCCAAACATCTATGTACACGTAATTCAGGATGCCCCTCGTCTTATGGATGGCTGTCCAGACTTCACATTCGTCTTCTTGCTAAGAATATCGTGCTCACAGAACTTAATCTTCTCACTCTTAGCTCCATTCAATAGCCCCTGCTTGCATAAAGCCTGCAGTGACTTTTGTCTTGTGTGTCCTAACCTGTAGTGCCAAAGTCTATTCATGTCCATCTCTGAAATAGCTAAAGCTATCTGGTCAACCTCGATGCTCCCCTTCAGATAATATAAGTTTTAACTACGGACTCCCTTCATCACCATCAAAGATCCCTTAGTAACCTTTACTATAGTGTCTTTAAATGTCATCTTGAATCCTTTTGTCTCCAAAGCTCCAACAAAAATAAGATTCTTCTTTAGCTGAGGAACAAATCTCACCTCTTTCAATTCACGGACTATTCCATCGTGCATCCGAATCCTCACAGTACCTATCCCACAAATATCACATGATTGATCATTTCCCATGACTATAACACCTTCATCGAGTCTCTCAAATGATGCAAACCAATCTTGTTTAGGAGTCACATGATAAGTAGCGCTACAATTAAGCATCCAATCTGATGCATCCATATGGTTTACTTCCGGAGTAATTAATAGAGAAAAGTTCGAATCATCGGAATCATCACCTCTAGCGACGTTCACCTCATTGGCCTTCGGACCCTTCTTTTTGCTATTCTCCTTCTCCTTGAGCTTCGGACAGTCTCTTCCAATATCCCTGTTCCTTATAGAACGCACACCAGTTCTTAGCTAACTGGTGATGGCCTCTAGTCTTTGACCTACTCCTATTGCCACCTCTCGGATATGGACTTCTACCTCTCGTCGATAAGGCCTCTTCTAATGAACTAGCGCGTGAAGTCTTATTGTCCTTTCTCCTCAAATCATAATTCGTCAAAGCTTTAATAACTTCACTATATGTGATAGAAGATCTCCCGTTCAATAAGGTAAGCACAGAGGTATCATACTCCTCATCCGGTAAGGGGTCCAAAAGAATAATAGTCTTGTACTCACCCGTGATCTTCTCATCCACGTTCGTTAAGTCCGACAATAACTTCGTATAGTTGTTCATATGAACTGCAAGTGAGGTGTCCCTGGACATCTGAAATCTGAACAATCTTCGCAGCAAGTGCAAACGGTTCTCAATACTCTTCGTAAGGTACTTATTATTGAGAATCTCCTACATCTTCATTGCAGACGTCATCCCAATCACATTATACTTCAGTTCCTTTTCCAAACAGGACCTGATCACCCCACAAGCGTTCTTATTCATTTTTTCCCATGCTGCCTCTTCATAATTTGGTGGCCTCTCATGGATCATGATAGTCTCCTCTAAATTCTGAGCATTGAGCGCATCCTGTATGTCGCTCATCCATAAACCAAAATTGATCTTGTCGTTATATTTAACCATACTAATTTTAGTGTTCTGAAAACCAACTTGAACTGTACTCACCATCTTGCTGTTTTCACCAACTTTTTCACCCATACTCAGACTCCAATTGTAAAAAAAAATTCAAACTTTGATAGAATTAAGAAGTTATCCAACTGAACCCTAGATTGGATTCTAAATAGATCTCCTAACCACACAAGGAAAACAGAATCTTCAACGGTAACTCCACAACGCTATCTTCACTGAAGCCTAGGATTCCAAGAACTAAGCTTCCACTACGAATCTTTCTCCACCCAATGCCAAAACTCTAGATCTAAAACCTTAGAGCTCTGATATCAAATTGTTACGCGTCTTTGCGGAAGCGTGCTCGCACACCGAACGGGTTCGTAAGCCACGGGAGAAGTTTAACAAACCAAACACGAGTACAATCCAAACAAATACGACAAATCAATCGCAAACACAGAGATATACGTGGTTCGGTAATTTACCTACGTCCACGGGGAGAGGATAAAGAGATTTTACTACATCGATGAGAGTACAAAAGGGTTACAATCACTCAAACAGTCGAACAAACCCTAACCAATGATCTCTCAACTCGTTCACAAGTTCTCCCTCTCAAAGTGCTCAGAATACTCTCTATTCTCTGATTAACCAAACTCTAAAATCGTGTTTCAATATATATCAAAACACAAATCAAAACAAAATAAGAAACGAAGCACAGGTCCAAACCCAACAGGCGGTCAACCGTCGAAGTCATCGCGATCGATCAGACAGAATGAAAAAAATCACCTTTTTGTTTACAGGGTCCAAACCCAACAGGCGGTCAACCGTCAAAGTCATCGCGATCGATCGGACAGAATGAAAAAATCACCTTTTTTTTTTAGGGTCTGCGATTGATCGCCAAAGTCTTCGCGGTTGACAGGACAAAGATCCAGACACTCCCTGTACCCGTGCATGCTTCTGATCGACCGCACATGTTGCTGCGATCGATCGGTCAGAGCTCAAAATTGATCCTGCTTCAATTTTTCTGAACTTCGTCGCCGTTGTTCCTAATTCTACACAGACTTGTGGTATAATTCTATTAACAACGAAAAGATGAAATAAATAAGTAAATAAGTAAACATGTAAGCAATAATGTAGGTGGACTAAGACTAGGGATGTAAGTGAATTAGAGGATATCAATTTGTAACCGACTTCATATATTGAATACCATTACCAGTTATACCTGCAGGTGGGACTCTAGTGTTTAATTTTCCTAATATCTGACACAAGAAATTTGAACAAAAGGGCAGAATGATATAAAGTTATATGTTATATTACACATGTTCATGTGTCATGCGCACAAAGACGTGTATCTTCAACTGTGTTTCACGCACAGAGAAAAAGAATTTTTGATTATATTGATTCATATCACATCCTATAGTTTTAAGCACTGTCGAAGTTAGGTTAAATGTGTACGTTGTTTACTTTCCTCTATATCTTTATCTTAATTGCTGAGCTGAGGAAGCTGGAACTGGCAGGGCTGCCAGCTTCCGCGAAGGATCTTATCAAATAAAATATTTTCTTCTGCCATTTGTAATGCCTTTTAAAATATTTATTCCATACCCTTGGTTGTTGCATGAGGGAATTTGAACTTGGCCCATGTTATTAAAGATTTATGAGAGCCAAAAGTTTTTTGTGGTTCTCTTGTCACTTCAAGAGATACTTATTGTACTCATTACTAAATCTTCTTCATGCAGAAACGAGAGGCGTTTCAAGATTTAGCTCCATTATTGTGGCATTCATTTGGAACCATTGCAGCTCTCCTACAGGTGTTTTTCCGGTCAAATCTAAATTCGTTATGTGGAATTTTCTTAGTAGATAAAAGAAATAAGGATGATGGATTTTTTTGATGGAGCCATATTTCGCTGAACTTGAAACACTAATTTGGTGTTTGAAACTTGATTACCTATGTTCTTGTGATCTTGTAGGAGATAGTTTCCATATACCCTTATCTTGCGCCTCCAAATCTTTCACCGAGTCAATCAAACCGAGTATGCAATGCACTTGCTCTCCTCCAGGTAAGATGGTCATTTGAACAATTGAATGTCTTCTCTTATCATTTACTTTTATTGAGAAAGTCATATACGGTGGTCTGGTTTAGTTCGTCATCTTATCATCATAGTTTTTTCTGGACTTAGTTCATATTCTTTTGTTTTTATGTGATATCTGTCATTGTTGTTGAGTTTCATTGGCTAATAGGATATTTATTAATCTAATACGATATTAATGCTAATTTAAAACTTATAATGCAATATCCTAGTACATATGATATCCAATAAGATATATGCAAGGATATAATGAACAAATGGTGAAATAAACTATGAGACAATGGTGATAAACAATGAGCATAAGAAAATACGCCAAGGCAAACACAAACATAAAAGAAATGATCATGGAGTTTGGTTGATCCACGACCTACATCTCCGCTCCTCACCCTCGTGGAGAATCTCTACTAGTACTAATGCAATATCCTAGTACATATGATATCCAATAAGATATATGCAAGAATATAATGAACAAATGGTGAAATAAACTATGAGACAATGGTGATAAACAATGAGCATAAGAAAATACATCAAGGCAAACACAAACACAAAAGAAATGATCATGGAGTTTGGTTGACCCACGACCTACGTCTCTGCTTCTCACCCTCGTGGAGAATCTCTACTAGTACTATCAACACAAAAAACTACACAATCGATTTTCAACGCTCACCGATAAATGTTTACAACTCACACACTTGTAATCACACCCTCTTAAGTGTTGGCCTCTCACATATCACCTTCCTTAAGTGCTCGGATTTACCACATCTCCCTAGGCTTTACAATAGACGTCACTCCTCTTGGAATTGATATTGTCTCTCACCAACCACTTCTCTCGGTGTCCTTATGTATTACAATGTGTACTCTCAATAATGAAAGCTCTAATACAAAGTGTTTGCTCTCTAAACAAGATGAGAACACAATTAAGCTCACACTCAATGTTACAATCTCACAACTTAATAATTATACTATGTGAAAATACTTAAGCTCAAGGGGTGTGTGTGTAAACAATGAGTAATAATCAAAATTAAACTCAATATGAAATCTAGCTTAATGAAATAATTAATCAACAAATATATATAAAGCTAGAAATTGAGTTTAGAGAAAACTTCTCTGAAAAAACAAGAGTGAAAGAGATTGAGATTGATGCCCAAACACGAAATAGATGATCTCTTCATCCTCTTGTGAAAACCACTTCACATAAACACTTGTAAAACACTTTAAAACACTAAACAAACTTGCCCAAAACTTGTATTTTATTTTTCTTAGTTAGTTCAGAAGTTTGTGGGTAAGGAGTATATATAGGATCACAAACAAAGCCCAAAAACTAAAAAAATCCAAGCAAAAAGATAAAAACCCGAGAAATCAGCAAACTAAAAAACAAACTAGCCATTACAGGCCATCAGTCGACTGATGATACTGTTCAGTCGACTGATGAGCTAACCATTACAGACAGCTCAACCTTCATCGGTCGACTGATGAACTCATCAGTCGACTGATGACCTGCTTCGGTCGACTGATGGTTCATCAGTCGACTGAGCAGAAACTTTCTGTACTTTTCAGGTGTTTTTTTCAGTCGATTGATAACACTATTCAGTCGACTGATAACATGAACCGAGCCTGTTTAAAATAATAATTTGATTTTTGAAGTGCCTTTAAAAATAGCAAATAAATTTTAAAAATTATAAAACTTTAGGAAGTGTTTATAAACATGAAAATAAACATGTCACAAAAAGAATTTTTCAAATTGTATTTTTCATTTGTGAAAACTCGTCATTTTATAAAATTAGTCAAAATACGAAATCTCAAAGACACATGATTTTGACAAAATGATTTCAAACAAGTTTTGAAACTTCTTTTGAATGGATTAATAGACTTTATAAAAGATATAAAATGATATAAACAAGTCTTTTAATCCGTAAACACATACTGTGCAAATAAACATGATTTTATTGATTTAAAATTGCTAAATCTTGATTTTGTTAAAATCATTTCTGGCACATATAAACATGAAACAAATATGTGTGTATATATAATTATATTCATTTTTTTCATATTTATGTGGCTAAACTTGAAAGCAATAAAATGTAAATTATGTGTGTGTATATTTTGAGCTCTAAGTATAAACACACAAAGTATAAACATACTAAACTAATATACCCAATCTTGAAGATCTCTTCGTGACGTTCGATTTTGGGCAATCCTCCTCTTTGTAGTATGAATTAAAAGACTTGAATTGCATCGTGCTTCATTCCGATATCCGCCAATCTCTATTGAATGTTATCGTTAAGCTTAATCCAACCAACATCCAACGAAGGATCTTTATGTAGAATACCTAACAAGCAAATAAACACTCGACAAACATTGTTAGAAATTGTTTGTTAATTATCAAAACTAGATTAGATAGTAGGCTCATAAACATGAGACCTAACAGTAGGGAGGTGTAGTTTCATTACAATAAGTACCTGCCAACAAATTGGGATTTTATGAAGATTTGTTGGCAAAAGAAATACATGAAAAAGAGTTCCTTTCCTTTTTCATGTTTTTGAAGCCTTGTTGTATTATATTGCTAGTATTAGTATATCAGTCATATGGTAGACAGGGCCTGACCAGGTTGCCTAGGCTTGGGGAATCAGACAAGTATAGTTAGGCAGCTGTAAAAGATAGAACAATTGAATTTGACAATATTCAGGAGGATTATATGATCAATAAATGGTCATCAAAGAGCTATTAGGATGCTAGATTTATATGACCAGGTTGCCTAGTCTTGGGGAATCAGACAAGTATAGTTAGGCAGCTGTAAAAGATAGAACAATTGAATTTGGCAATATTCAGGAGGATTATATGATCAATAAATGGTCATCAAAGAGCTATTAGGATGCTAGATTTATATGACCAGGTTGCCTAGGCTTGGGGAATCAGACAAGTATAGTTAGGCAGCTGTAAAAGATAGAACAATTGAATTTGACAATATTCAGGAGGATTATATGATCAATAAATGGTCATCAAAGAGCTATTAGGATGCTAGATTTATAAAAACCTAGTGCTGAGTCTTGAAGACAAGGTGTTAAATGAATGGAAGACTTCATGGAATCATAAGGATGCTGATTGCAGTGGGAGAATTCTCCTTGTACAGGGAGAACATGAGAACCAAAAGCTTAGCAAGTTCCTGGTATTCTGGATATAAGAAAGTGCTAGAGAAGTAGAAGTTTCATCTATAGTAAAGTTCTTTATATTTTTGTTTCCACGCGAGAAGTTCGCAGCAGCA